CCAAGAGATTTCATAGGTTTCATGGCTTGTAGGTTTTCCTTAAAGGGAACTACATATACAGTCCTGACTACATAGTAGAAACATTTGGATGGTTTTGGTCCCTCTAGCATAGGGTCTGGATATGGACACTTTTTTTTAAAAGCGTTTCCCCAACCCTACCACAACTCCCTTTTTCCCCCCCGAGATTCTAAGATTGCGAACAGGATTGACAATTACTGTATTTGTGCTTCTTTGGAACATGAAATTGACCAGGGAAAAGATAAGAAACACAAATCAATAAGTAGTTTCTGATCTCAACACTAGTGTATTTTAAGCTAATTAAGCATTGCTTTTTTTTTAGTCAATAACGAACTGCTATTTCCCATTCAATTAAACTAAATATTTATGTTTTAATGATAGGAAGGTAACCAATATAACACCAATAAAAAGTTGTATGCCTCACAGAACTATGTAAAACTACCTAATGACATCAGATAGGGTCCCAGAGATGGAAGAATGATTGCTATGTCTTTAAAAAACAAAAGAAGAAGAAGCACCACTGGAATTTAGGCATCTCTGAAAAAAAAAATCAAACCTAATCCACACTGGATTTCTAATAGTATGAAGATTTTGTTTTCTGTGCCCACTGGGTCTTAACCTGTGGATAAGTAAGAAGGTAAACAAGAAAAAAGTGTTCATGGTTCCCACTCCTAGAACGCTTTGCCTAGCCTGGCTCCAAATGGACTTCATGTTTTGTTAGGTGAAGCAGAAGCTTGAACTCACCTGCTGAAATGCATTGTATGAAATAATGACATTAATTCTCTGATCTCCCTCCTTTGGCTGCATACACAGAACCACTGAATGGCAGGCAATGGTTCTCTAGTCCAAGGTTTGTTAACTAGACTTTCACAGTCTATATTTGGTCAACAGATATACCTGTACTTTGTTTATTTCAGACAGTATTGGCTGCCCTCCGTGGTTAAAAACAAAAACTGACTTAGTTGCCAACATTTAAAATAGGATATTTTACATAAAATCCCAGATTATTAACTTCTCTTGAAAATGTTGAAGATCTAGCAACACTGGGCTTATATTCTTGCATAGCCACATTGTCTGGAGCTGAATAGTCCTTCCACTTTTATTCCTGTTTGCTACAATCCCCACTATTATCAATTTTCTTACACTAGTTGAGTTTTATTTGAATATCATCACTTGTGTATGGTATTGTGATAAATCAATAGCTGACGCTAAGTGAACACGTTGGTGGCCTATGTGGCATCCATTCCCCCTCTCTCACATCTTAACAGAACACAACCAGGACTTTATTCATGGATCCATTTAACTCCCTTCACTTCACTTGTCTTAAAGGGAAGCTAACTTCACTTCTATCCCCAAGGATTGTCTTAATATAAGTCCCATTCCCCAAGTCTTAACAGTGGACAGTTTAATCAGGGTGAATTGCTTGGAATAGTAGGACTAAAGCAGTTTACTTACCTTCTGAATTTTTTTGTGTAAGGCCCAAAACTGTTCAAGCATTCTTGCTACCCAGATTGGTGATGAAGCCAATATAGAAGTGGGTAGAACTAAGAGAATATCAGGGAGACGGCACCAAATCAACTCAGGACACCCCTAACCTCAAGCCACACTTCTGAGTGCTAGAGAAGATATTGAGAAGAGGACAGACCTTTACAGAACCTTTCAATTCTCACCATGTAGTTAATTATATTCTCCAGCTACTGGTGAGATCTATGTTTTCCAAAAGCCCCAGTCACCCATCTGACACCTTCCCAAGAAGAGTCTGCCCTGATCCGAAGAGGTAGCCTCACCCTAGAGAATTGGGAAAATGAAACAGATGAAGGCGAGAATGGAAGAGAACTCTATCATTGACCATGTTCCCCATTTCTGACCAACCCCCACCTGTTCACCATCCTAATCAAGAGAAAAATGAAGAACCGTTGGAAAAATAAGTTTGGCCCTCGCTCAAATGGCAAAACACCATTCTCTAAAAAATGCCTAAAATTTTGTATTGCTTGTCTTTAAAAGTTCCCATTGCTCATCTCAACAGCATTATAATTTAAGTAATTATTTTTTTTAAAAAAAAAAGAAGACCAACACAGATTTCAAGTGCTTTTTCCAAGTTAATGAATATTTGTCAAAGGACACAAGCAGCCTGACTTGAATCCCGTCTTTATTGACTATATCATTCTGCCACAAGGTGGCAGCAGGCGATACGCTTTCATCCCAGTTCCTCTTCTAAAGCTTTGGTTCCTGAATGCTGTATTTATTTACTCTTCCCTCACGTCTTCAACTTAACTCTTAGAAACCTGGACAGCTACTTAGGGTGGGCTTAATGCTCTGACAAAATTAAGATAGCTTTGGATTTTTGCTTACCCTTTTGTCTATGCTGCTGCAAATGTTCTGCTGGTTTTTGTTATATCTCCATGTATTCCAATACCCCTTGAATTCTGGATTGGGTTATTTAGGTTATAAATATTAGGTTATAAATAATGCTTATTTATCCTTATTTTTAGTCAAGTTGTATTTTATCTACGATGACATCGCTTGTTAAACAGAAACATACAGATTCCATGCCCCCTGCTCTAGACCTAGTGAATCAGACCTCCAGGGGAAAGTGCTCTGGAAATGCAAGTTCTTCCTTTCGTAATTGCGCATTCGTAATCTGGGCATGTTTGAGGAACACTGCTCTAAGTGATGCTATCCAGCTCTGCCTAAGAGTGTTCTACAGAAACTAGCCCCCTCCTCTTGTCCTCAGCTTCCCCTACCTTATAGCCGTTCACCATTGCCACATCTTGCTCCTTCTCTACATCCCAGCCTCCTTCTCCCCAGAGCACCTGGTCTGCTATGCTATGCTATGCCCAGCCCTCTTACTTTGTGATTTCTGGGGACCATAATTGTGGCTTAGTCCAGGGAGCCAAAGCCAGGCCTTTCATCCTTGGAAAGTAAGGACAAGGAGTCCCAGCAGTTTTTAAGAAAGAAGGAGAGCTGATCTACAGTCACAGATTGTCATGTTGCGGGGTACCCAGACAGAGACAGGACACCAAGGCGTGGGAAGCAACTTTTACTAATGCTGGCACCGGCCCAGCGGATTCACATCCAGAGGCTGAGTCCCGACCCGGGCGGGACCCGGGGCCATACACCCTGAGGTTTCCAGGCCAGCAGCTAAGGTTCCCCATTAGGACATGCAGCCCTGTGCCAGTTCCTAACTGGCTCCCAGGCGAGGCAGGAATCCGGAAATATCAAACGCGGAAGTCTTGCTGACCATACAGTCCAGGAATGTCTTTGTCTGAAGACTGTGAAATCCTTAGTGACCACATGGTCTGGGAAAGCCCCTGTCTAGGGCCCACCGCCAGTCAGAGAAGCCCCACTTCATTTAATGCTCCCCTAAAAAGCTGCATTGTGTCTATGTTACAGTCACAGAATTGGTCTTTCATGTTTTTATGCCATGTGACGTTCTACGCTTAGGTTACTAAATTTTTTATTTTCGTTATGCATTTGTGCTGGCCATGACTCCCTCATTAGAGGATGAGAATTTGGAAAGCAGAAGCCATGCTGTCTTTGGGACTTTTCACTGGGTAGATCCGCTATTTCATACTGCTACCATTGGGTAACTAGCAATCTGCCTGGCCTTGGAGGAGAAAGAACAGCATGACTGAAATGCTTGCATTAGGCATTGGGGTGGGGGTATGAAACATAGTTACAAAGATTTAGAATTTTCATTTCCAGTGACATAATATGACCATCCTTCAGAAAACAAGCTGAGGACTAAAACCAGATTTCAGCTTAAGGGCATTTATCAAACTAGATAGATGTGAGCTTAGGTTTCATTGCCTTGAAAGACGAGGGGAACAGGAGACAAAGCCCAGGGACTATCNAAAAAAAAAAAAGCAACCTGCCGTGGTCAATCCACGCAACACTCACCTCTCTCTCGGTCATCTTTCCGCTCCTGATTGCTGTCCGAGTCTGGTTCTGGTTCAGGCACAACAAGGGCTTTTCTTTCTGTGAGGAGGTCTCCCAAACCCTGCTCCAGGTCGTAACGTTTCAGTATGATACGGATGTTTTCATCAAACTGGAGAAGACCAGGTACAGTTAGGGAAAAACAAAAGGACGCAACTTTGGAAATGAAAAGAGCGCTAGGGAGAACTAAAACACTCAAATAAAAATCCGAGCAAACAGTTAGCTACCTGACTCCAGTACCGGTTAACAATCAGTAACGAGGCATCATCAGTGGCCTGTCTTCGTTCCAGTTTCTCAATGTGCTCACGGAGCTCATCCTCAATGGCCTGCCGTTGATCCACCATTTCTGCCAGCTTGCGATTCTTGGTTTGCAGTGTTCGAATGTCTAACTCCTCCTGCCCCAGGAAGCCAATCTGATTAGTCTCCATAACAAAATTAGACAAATCAGCTGTGAAAGTCGGCAAGGCCTTAGTAGTTAGTTAGGTTCTATGAATAAAGCTATTCATTCAAAACAAACATCAACAGGGCGGGCCAAGTGGCTCAGTTGGTTAAGAGTGCGAGCTCTGAGCAAAAGGGACACCGGTTCGATTCCCACATAAGCCTGTGAGCTGCGTCCGAGCTGAGCTGCCGCTGAGCTGCCAACAGGTGGCAGGATGGCTCAGCTAGTGAGGACACATGCCCCTAACAATAAGGTTGTCGATTCCACTCCCACATGGGATGGTGGGCTATGACCA